TCGATAAAATATTTAATATTTTGAAAAAACAACCCCAGTAAAAAGTAGGTGATCTTGCGAAAAAGATCTATTTCATAGTGTGAAATATAATATATATTACAGTGCAAGGGAGGTAACTCTTTTTATCATCCCTCAACTTGAGGCAGACCCCCATTAATTTCCCCATTGACTTCAATGTTAATTCTGGCCTCTTTGCCCATCTCTAACTTTTCCCCAAATTTTCGTTGGGCTGAATGCTTTTCACTACAGACAGAGGAACAAATGGTCATGTCTTTGCACTAAAATTTGTATGAGGTTGACCACCAAAATTTTGAGATACACAAACTTGAAGAAGCATACTAAAAACATGTAACTAGTTGCCATACATGTCACTGTAGCCAACTGGATAACCTCTTTATCCTTCCGCCTCAAAATCATGAATATTTAACAAAACCTGGGAGAAAATGTTAATTCAAACCCTCTTCATCCATTCTAGACCAAAAAATCAACAAAAATGGGCATGCAAAAGGGGAGAAGAGAGAGAGAGAATTGCTATAAATAGACAAATTTAATGGTGGTCTGCCTCCAACTGCTTCATTTTGACCAAAGCACGAGGCAAGACTGTGGCAGAGAAAATGTCTGCACCATAAATAGTACAGTTTTTTTTAAAGTTGTCAACAATATTGTCTAAGAGTCTCGGGGGTTACTTTGTCTAGTTTTACAAGGGTTGTGACGCTACATTATTGGTTAAAACCCTGTTGTAAAGTATGGGGTTTCACGTTTCCCTATGAGCTTTCGCGGGTCATGGTCACGTGACATATCCCACCATTTTTGTTTACAAGTTAGCAATCCACTTATGATGTCTGTTTTAATTCTGGGCAGTTCACATGTCAGCCACTTTCAGACATACGTCGAACTTCAGGGTAGGCGGGGTGGTTGGAGACTGTTGTTTGAAATCAGCAATTTTTGTCGCCATAGTAGATACCCCATCTTTTGCACAAGGAGACAGTTAATGTATGTTTAAATTGTATTGGTGCTATATTGAACCATTTTGATATTATTAATATATTTTAGGTTTTAGTGTATTTCATTTCCATGTTGGAAAATTTTTGTTATTTATTTTGCCGGGTGTTTGTTATTATTCAACGTTTGGTTTATGTAATTTATGAGGCAAATAAATGACCATTTCAATTCAAACAAATGTTTTTTCGTATGTGCAAAACATAGCCATTCCAGAGCATACAAAAGATCTATTTCATATTGTGAAATATAATTTATATTACAGTGCAAGGGAGGTAACTCTTTTTATCATTCTTCAACTGCATCATTTTGACCAAAGCACGGGCCAAGAACGTTGCAGAGAAAATATCTTCACCATAAATAGTACAGGTTTTTTTTTTTTTAAGATAAGAGTTGTTAACACCACCTTCCTTCCCCTCCTCCACCAGTTAGTTTTTACACATAACAATTTTAAATTCTTTATGTTTATTTTTTCTTGCTCTTTCTATAATTGTGGATTTTAAACCTATAATTTTTGCTCAATTTCCAATGCAATTTTGGATTATGGTGAATTTTATAAGTATTAGTTATGCTCATGTTTCATTGGTGCTGTAGTAGATACCCCATCTTTTGCACAAGGGGAAGTTAATGCATGTTTGAATTGTATTGATGCTATATTGAACCATTTTGATATTATTAATATATTTTAGGTTTTAGTATATTTCATTTCAATGTTGGAAAATTTTTGTTAGTTATTTTGCCGGGTATTTGTTATTATTCAATGATTGGTTTATGTAACTTATGAGGCAAATATATGGCCATTTCAATTCAAACAAGTGTTTTTTCATATGTGCAAAACATAGCCATTCCAGACCACGGGGGGATACAAATCGTGATTTCACCGTCGGGTGTGACCAATTAAAATTAACTAAAGTATCGTTTGGTAGCTCGATGTATAATACAATTCAGTATTGTATAACACTCTTCCTGTCTGATTCCTGACAGCCAGTTCAGTGCTGCTTGCATGCCTAGTTATTATTATTAAAAATTGAGCGTGGCTCTGCCCCTGGGGGTCGGGACATGGTCCAAAATCAATAGTTGCCGTCCTTAGGCTATAAGGAATACATATGCCTAGTTCCAAGATGATCCATTCAGAATTCTAGTCTGTAGATAAAAGACACAAAAATTGTCCGTGACTCTGCCCCTGGGGGTTGGAAATGGACCAATATAAATAGGTACAACCCTATGTTGGATTATGCCGAAATGGAACAAAATCAGCTAATAATTCCAACCTGTAGAGTATTTGCAGACTAAATATTAACAAAAAAATGGGTGTGGCACTTCCAAAGGGGGCGGATCATGCACCAAAATAAATAGTTGCTGTTCTTGGGTATATGAAATAAGTATACCAAGTTTGAAGCTAATCCATTCAGGGCCTGGTTCCTAGAAAATTCTTAAACTAAGCAAAAAGTCATGCTTCACTTTTTCTTACGTAAGAAACTTTATACAATAACTCCTTGAAATGAAATATACTAAAACCTAAAATATATTAATAATATCAAAATGGTTCAATATAGCATCAATACAATTCAAACATCAGCACAAGTCAAGAATGAGTCAAAGCACATTTTGACTGGTAAATTGAGACTACGTCATAAAAACAACTTTTGTATGAGAATTACGTCATAAATTGGTTGGCTGCACAGATTTATAAATAGATCAATGACATTAATTTCCCAGCAAAGCTAAGTCGTCCGGGTAGTCAACAAGGGTTGTCGCATATTTTTCTTTTATCAGTGAGGAGAATGTTTACAACACATGAAAATGTTATTACGAGATATAACCCATTAAATAATTATCAGAAATCATTAGAATTTGTTTTGATTGTTTGTCTCATGACCTTGAACAATTTATATTAACTTTACCCTCTAGAGCATCCACAAAATTTTTCAAAGTGATCAAGGCCCATAACTCTGGCAGTAATTATCGGAAATCGCTGAAAATCAACAGGCTTCTTTGTCTCATGGCCTTAAACACTGTGCATAAGTTTAAAGACAATCAGATATTAACTTTAGCCTTTAGAGCGTCCACAAGATTTTTCAAAGTGACCAAGGGCAATAACTCTGGCAGTAATTAAAGAAAATCGCTGCAAATAAATAGGATTCTTCGTCTCATGAACTTAAACACTGTGTATAAATTTAAAATCAATCGGATATTAACTTTAGCCTCTAGAGCATCCACAACCAATTGTGGACATGGGACCGACAGACGGACGGACGTGGGCGACAACAATATCCGACCACATTTCAATATGGGCGTATAAAAATGGGTTGGCTCTACCCCTGGGGGTTGGGCATTCATCAAGAACAATAGGAATCATCCTTAGGGTATAAGGAATAGGTGTGCAAAGTTGCAAAAGGATCTTGAGAATTGTAGAATGTAGGCAACACAGACACACATTTCAATATGGGCGTATAAAAATGGGTTGGCTCTACCCCTGGGGGTTGGGCATTCATCAAGAACAATAGGAATCATCCTTAGGGTATAAGGAATAGGTGTGCAAAGTTGCAAAAGGATCTTGAGAATTGTAGAATGTAGGCAACACAGACACACACAAATTGGGCGGGGCTTTATCCCTGGGGGTCGAGCATGCACCATAAATAAGATCAATCTTAGGGTAAAAGGAATAAGTATGAGAAGTTTTCAAGATAATCCATTAAGAATTGCAGCCTAGGGCCGATACACAGACACACAAAGATAAAATTGGCATGGCTCTGCCCCTGGGAGTTGGGCATGGCCCCAAAACAATAGGGATGACCCTTAGGGTACAAGGAATAAGTATAAAAAATTGGGCGTGGCTGTCCCTGGGGGTTGGGTATGCATCAAAAATAATAGAGGTCAACCTTAGGGTATAAGGAAGACTGTAGACGACAGACACATATAAGAATTGCAGCCTGTAAGCAATACACACACACACACGTATAAAAATGAAGACAGGATCCATCAACCTGGGTGGGGAGTCACGGTGGCTAAGTGGGTAAGACGCTGGCTCGCTAGCCTGGAGGTCAGGTGTTCGATTCCTGCATTGGCCGAGAAAGTTCATCCAGATTGTACGGCGTGGTTCCTCCTTGTCAGTGATGCAGGACGGAGGGTCTGACAAAGACAGTTGTCTAGTCGTTCGGATGGGACGGAAAATCAAGGTGCCATGTACACATTGACATGCACATAAAAGATCCCTTGACAGTTGGAATTTGATATAAGAGTAGGCCGTAGTCTGGCCAAAATTTCCCTAATAGCACACTATATGGCATATGCCCGTCTTCATTAGTCCAATGCAGCACAGAACAGTAGGACATTAAACCCCACTCCATTTCATTTCATTTCCATCAACCGGGCTAATGAAGACGGGCATACCACATGCAGTGTGCTATGATGGAAAATTACTTTAACAGCAGCGGCACAACCTACTCCTTATTTCGAATTCTGACTGTCAAGGGATCTTTTACGTTTATTTTGTACCTTCTTAACAACTTGACACTGTTTCTTGCCAAGCTCTCCATCCTGTACTACTGACAAGGGGGAAAACCCACTGGAATATCCCTGGGAACTTGCTTGGACAATACTGGGATAGAATCTAGGATCTTCAGGTTAGTGAGCCAGTGCCTTACTCACTGAGCTGCACTGGCTCCATTCATAGGAAAAGACAGTCCATAAAAGGTTATTGTCTCTTCATTAAGAGCACCAAGATAATTATAACTCAATTCAATATGCTGCTATATTTATGTAAATACCATAACTCTCTACATAGTAAAGAGAGAAACTTGACACTAACCAGGTCATTTCAACAATAATATATGAATTTTTATTTCAATAATTCACTATAGTAAAAAAAAAAAGAAAAAAAAAGACGATTTTAGGCAGTTGACCCCAAACCAGGAATTGGAACCCATAAATTGCATAACTGCAGCACAAACATTAGACTATTCTACCTCCCAGAATAAATTTTAAGGATAAAGCATTACCTCTGAACTATTTTCACTTCTGCCGAGCTTCATAAATGAATCCATTAAATTAGCTTTTGCTGTTTTGGGTTTTGGAGAATCAGGAGAATACAGAATAATCATGGCTGGATCATTAAAAAATGGATGCTCCCTATCTCGATATTTTTTTTCTGGTGATGTTTTGGGATATAATTCTGATGATGTTTTGGGAGATGTTTCAACTGATACGTTTGGAGATGTTTCTACTGTCTTTTGGGGTGGATCATTTGAACTTTTTTCACAAACAGATTTTGTTAATTGTTCTCTTTTCAGTTTGTTCACAGAATTCTTAATATCTGGGCTTTCCTCAAGAATAGGCATGTCCTCCATAACACCTAATTCTTCCTCATGGTCTATTTCCTCCTCGTATGCTGGAGAAAGTTGTGGCATTGCAGAATCATCGAAGGCTTCAAATGTAGGCATATCATTATCTAATAGTGGTAATTCTTTATCTAATGTTGGCAGTGCTTCCTCCTTCAATATCTCTTTATTTAGTGGTAAATCTTCCAATTGCTCTGAGTTTTGACTCTCACTTTCAGATTGGTCATCTTCGTCTGTATAGTCAGCTACAAGAGACATTGTAAATTGTTTTGTTGCTTTTTTCAGCGTTTCCGATTGCTGAAGTTTAGTTCGTATTTCTGTCTGTTCTATTAGGTGCTCTTCAACAGCTCCAAATTGTTCAAACATATCTCTTTCTTGAAGGTTTTCAGGATTTTTAACACATTCAATATTAACAGAATTTCCAATACTGGCAGAATTGAATTTTTTTTCAGAATTGTCAATGTTAATATTTTCAGAATTGTCAATGTCAATATTTTCAGAATTGTCAATGTCAATATTTTCAGATTTGTGTATTTTTTCATGATTATGAATTTTTTCACCCTTGTCAATATTTTGAACACTATCAATATTTTCATCACTATCAATACTCTCCACATTTTGAATATTTTTGCATTTGTGAATATTAGCATTGTCAGCATTTTCAATGCTTTCAATATCTTCTGAATTGAAAGTATTTGTATTTTCAAATTTGTCAACCGTTTCAAAATTTTGAATATTTCCTGAATTTTCAAATGTAGTGTTAGAATTATTTTTATTTTTTGTTATAGATATTACAACTTTAGAAGAATCCTGAACATCTTTAATATTTTCAGAATGTTCCATTTTTTTTGTTCTAGTCTTTTTTTTTTGTATGTTGGGTTTTGCTCTCTTCTTCTTAGAAATTAAAGGATTGTTTATTTGGGGATACTGGTATTCCTCCACAAAAGTTTTTATGAGTGATTCTGCACGTTTTTTATCAACTGGATCAATTTCAGGTTCCTGTTCAACATTCTTGTCTAAATTGTTCAGATCGATTTCCATATCAGGTGATAAATCTTTAGTTTCTACAGCTGCGTCCCGCACATTTGGCTTTTTCGGCAACTCAATCTCTACTTCCATTGCTCCCATACACACATCTTTTCTGGATTGCGTAACAGGGTCTCCTGTTTTTTCAGTCTGGATATTCACCGATTTCAATTTTTCAAAACAAGGGGACTCTACTTGCGATTTCTTAAACACATTACCCACTTTACTCACGACAGAATGTGGGGCATTCACAGAAAATTCATGTGGTTTATTCAATAATGTTGAATAACTACTAGTCTTAAGATAAGAGCATGGTCGCTTCGGTAGTACACTAATTACAGGTCTAACTTGAGAGGATGGTTTAATAAGGGGGGATAACTCCTCTCCATCATCACTGTCGAAGTCACACACATATTTATGGGAAACCGATTCAGATTTAAGCTGTTTTATTTTATGTTGCATTGTAGTAAGTAAAGCAGGATCAGTGGAAGTGCGTAGAGAATGAGATTCTATTGCACTATTTTCTTTAGCCAATGTCGATTTTTTGGGAGATTTTCTACTTGATGGCAATGGAGCTGGTTCTGGAACTGAAACCACGAATAGCCCAGTTTCTTGATTTTGATCGTCATTTGAACCAAGAGCTGAAAAATTTCTAACGGAAAGCTTATCACTAAAAGACACTCTTTTTTTCTTCTTGGGAGGTTGCTCAACATTTTCTGCACTCTCAGCCATGGAATCATTCAAATTCGTATTTTTTAATGTATTTTTATGATTTATTTTAGTAAACCATAGTGAATTATCAAATGTTCCTAGTTTTTTCAAAATGCCAGGCTTAGGTGAAATAGGACCAAGTTCTGACTGAGGTGTTTCTGTGTCACTATCTTTACGACCTCTACATATAACGAGTTTCATTTTATCAGGGCTCTGTTGAACAGGGTGCCATAATTTCTTCAATGGGATGTCATCTTCATCATCAAATTCAGAGTCGTCTTCCTTATTAGCTAACTCGTTATTCAGTGCTTTGTTATTGGTAGGTATATGTTTACGTTTGACACTATTTTGATGATGAACACCACGAATTATAACACCATTTAAGTTTTCGCTTTTATTCTTTCTAACACTTGACTTTGTTTCTTTTGGTTTCTTAGTTTTACCTCTAATTTCTGCTACTGAATGACCTTCACGTAATTTCTTTTCTAACAATTCTAAAGATTGTTTTTTTGTGTGAGTTTTAACTTTAGTTTGTTTCTTTCTAAAAGGATCATATTTTGGTTTCTTTCGATTACCATTTGTTAGTTCAACACTTTTCTTGTAATCTTCATAGTCTACTTCTGCTTGAGTGCTGATACTATGAATTTCTAGTGACTTTTCTTGGTCCTCATCATCAGTTGCTGTAGCACTCTTTAAAACTCCACCATTATTATCAGTACTTTGACATTCTTGATTGGTTTCATCTATTTCACTTACAAGCTTAACTTTAGTGAAAATGTCCGTCTGATTGTCATTTGTATCTGGTGGAATATCTGATAGTGGTTTGTTGTCATTTTTATCTGTACTTTCTGAGGATAAAGAAGATGAAATGGCTGTGTCAATTGTATCTGGTGGAATATCTGATGGTGGTTTGCTGTCATTTTTATCTGTACTTTCTGTGGATAAAGAAGGTAAATTGGCTGTATTTGGCACAGCCACTTCATCACCTGCAGCATCATCAGATTTTAAAGTTTCTTCTGCTGGCTGATCAGCAACTACCGCTGGAGGTACTTGGTGGGTGTTTGGAACTTCTTTCTCCACACTTGAAGGAACTGAGGCTGGTGCTATGGCAAGTGCTGTAGTTGTTTGTGATTGAGATAGAGCCTTTGGAGCTGATTTGAACTGAAGTTTAAGAACTTTTCCGTCAGGTCCTTTGATTTCTACCATTCCATTATTTTCGTGAGCGATTTTACGATATTTAATCATGTCCTCTTGAGAAATGTGCCATACATTTTTCTTAACAGCTGGATTATCAGATGATGCAACAGTCTCCACTTTAGGAGTTCCTGTTGCAAGAACTTTGTTTTGATCCACTTTACGTTTGAATCTTCCAGCCAAAGAATCTTCAGGGTCGATAAGAGGTCGATTTTCTTGCTTTACAGGATAAGTAGCTAACATGGGAAGTTTTGTATACTTTTTATCACCCTGACTAGATTTATAGGCTGCCATTTCTTTATCTAGTTCATCAAATATTCTTTGTTTACTTTCTCTCATCGCAGGTCCCATACGAACCATGTAGTTTCCATGTTTAAATGTTCCAGATGATGTCGGGGGACATTTCACCATATCCTGAAACACAGAAGTATATCACGTGTGTTAATTTGTCTGGTATCTGGAATGAATAATCCTAGCAGACATTGTCCTGTTCCATATGGATATTTACATATACAATTGATTTGATGGGGTAATAGGTGTGATGTTTATTAAATAGTGTTCTTACTTCAGCTAATTCTTGTGAAGGAAAAACATTTAAAGACGTTACTTGTTACCAAGCACTAACAACAAAGCCTGACATTGCTATCTTAGAATGTGTATTACTCACACATAATAAGGCAACACCAGTACAGGTTCATTCACCATCTTAAATAAATAAAGGTGGCTACATTAAAAGCTTCCCTTGAAGTATCTCAGAAGATATAATGTTTTGGTTACAAGTAGATTTTTCCTTTCCGTTTGGACGTTTTAGAACCAAAGGTTAGGAATACGCTTAACACAAAAATATACCCTTTAAAGAATATGAGATATGAGATTTCCTATTGTTTCCCTTTAATAGTAAGAGCAGGGGGACTGCACCACACAAGACAAACTTATGGACAAGACACAATATACAGACACCACAAACAAAAAACGCATATATCAAACCAAGTGAATGTATTCGGGGGCTAGCCATAAACTGTACAGTCTCTGGCCCGTACTGATACAGACTTCACTCAAAATGAAAAACAAACTAACAATAAGGGAAGCAACTCAAGAAAACAGAGAAAGGGGAATATTTCCCAAACGCATCATACTAGTGTGAGTCATAATTGGCTATGTGCTACATGAAATATAAATGTAGGCACATTGAAGGAAATAAGCGGTTACCGTGCAAGATACGCCAACATTTTGCAAGAGAAGGACAGAGAACAAGCAAAAACATTGATTTTTCGTACAATCTAGGGTGATAATTCAGGATGTTACTGTCCGATATGCGTCAATATCGAAAGGACTGAGATCATTGGTATATGAACATATATTAAAGTTTCATCAAAATCAGATAAAAATTGTGAGAGGGACACAAACTAGGTCATTTCAATTTTATTTCAATAATTCGCTTGCGCATAGGAGGTTTTAGCAGTGGGAGGAAACCTGAGGACCCCGGAGAAAACCTACGTGGATGGACAGGCACGTAAAACCGGGGGAATTAAAACCACACCAGATGAGTCAATGACAGTCCTTATGATACAGCATGCACGTGCTAACCATTCAGCCATCCACCCGCCCCTATTAAGATAGGTTTCAAGGCAACGAAACATACACCCACAGCAGCTAAATCGTCCGGGCAGTCAACAAGTGTTGTTGCATATTTTTACTTTTTTCAGTAATGAAACATTTCTAATACACTAAAATCGGATTAAGAGTAACAACTCATGAAGTAATTATCAGAAAACCATTAGAATTTGTTTGGTTTTTATAAAGTTCTGCCCCATGCTAACGTTTAGTATACGAAACTTTTAATATTATCGATTTAGCCGTTGAAGTCATAAAAATTCATTGAAAATCAATATACTTGTTCGTCTCAAGACCTTATACTCTGTGTATCAATCTGAAGTCAATCGGATGATAACTTTAGCCTCTAGAGCATCCACAAGATTTTTCAAAGTGATCAAGGGCCATAACTTTGGCAGTAATTATCGGAAATTGCTGAAAATCAATAGGCTTCTTCGTCTCATGGCAGTAAACACTGTGTATAAACTTTAGCCTCTAAAGCGACGGACGGACGGGGGCGACGACAATATACGACCACATTCCAATGTGACTTCTAGAGGGTCCACAAGCTAAAAACGTGATTTTTCGTACCATCAGGGGCCATAATTCATGAAGTTACAATCCACTACATGTCAATATCAAAATCAACCTGATGTCTCCAGCCAAAATCCCAAAATAAACAGATGACACATATTAATTAATTACACACTATCTTTCTCAAAAGTATCGAGTGGTCAAACTGATTATCTATGCTTAGTCGGAGCACAAAATGTTCACGATCAAACTTGGTCAGTACCTGGTAGTAAAACTATACACTTAAGTTTCATCCCTCTCCATCAGTTAGAAGAGTCTTAGACGATAAAGACAGAATGTTATGGCGGTAAAGGCAAAGTTTAGTGCTTGGATGTCATAACTATAAGTACACATATGAATGGTTTAAGCTCTGGGTTTAGTGATGTATTTGCTGTATATTCTCAATAATTTATTCTTATTAATTATAAACCTTTAACGGTAAATGTCTTTGATCTTTGAGGTATATTCTATGCCCGGAATAACTTGCGGTCTGAAAGTCGGGGGTGGCTTTGGATATACAGTAAACCTCACATAAGTCAGATTCGTATAAGTCGCATCTTCGCTCAACTCGGATAAAATCGTTTGGACCCTTTGATCCTGCACGTATTTCTTATTAAATTTCTGCGTGTAACTCGGATTTCCTATGTCGGATCTTCGCTCAACTCGGATCCAAATGTTCGGTCCATCTGATCTAATTCAGGCTTTTTTCCTTCGCTTAAGTCGGATCGGCAGTATGTTCAGAATTTTACCAAGTCAGTTTCGTACCGATGGCCTAAAACGCGGTTAGGTATTCCATGCACAGAGCCCCAAAATACTTTCCCCTGTCATTTTGCCTCAAATCGTATTTGACGTGATGCAATAATAGAATTTTCCCTGTCAACAACGGACAATAACAGACATGATAATTTCATGGGCATTATAATACATGGATTGAATGCATGCTGCACGAGACGGGGAAGTTGACTATGCCTTTTTACTAGTGATAAACTGTCAATGTAATTTAAATAAAATACCATTTTATAAAGAAGAAAACAATATAATCGAAAGATTCCCTTGGAAATTCCTGCAGTATAAATTAATTTTAAATCCAGTTGTAATTTATTATTGAATTCACAATCAGAATGTGCCGTACCAGTCAGGAGGATCTTCTATTCGCCCTTCGTAATATGTTGCGCCTTTTTAAATGACACATGTTTTTTTCTATTTGTACCGTCTTTTGCGGCTTCTGTTGTTGTTTTTCGCCAATATGATTATCGCTATATATGTTAAAATATTATGCATGGGACACTGGATTTTTAATAAGCAGTTAAAGCTGTAGTGGTAAGTCAGAACACAGGAATGTCTTACTCAGCTCAATAATATACAATCAGGTATTCTGTGTTCACGCATCATTTTATAATTTACTTATCAACAAACAATCCGGCATCAGATTAATTGGCACTACTTTGAATCAGTTATTATCCGGCTCTTGCAGTTTATTTCTAATCGAGCTAAGATTGAATTTCGGTCTTCGGCTAACTCGGATCTTCGCTTAACTGAGATAAAATTGGTCAGTCCACTTAGATCTGACTTATGCGAAGTTTACTGTATACAGGGAAATTTGGGTAGGTTTGTTTTCCATAAGAAAACACAATATAAGGTTTTTCTTACGGGAATTCTGGGATATTCTCATCTTGCATACATGTTAACATAGATGGTTTATAAGTAAGATAAAGTCCTCGACTTCGGTTATGCTGGGGAAGAAAGACTTCAGAAAAAACCCTCGACAGAAAAACCTTGGCCTACCGGCCTCGGTTTTTCTTTTTCTCAGATTATTTTCATCAGTCTTTCTTTCCCCAGCATAACCTCAGTCTCGTGCTTTATCCCACACTGACAAACTTTGACAATTATTGTAATTTCCTTGAATGACATTCAGAAGTAGAGGTATAATATTTATAATAACACAACTTTATGGATTTACTACTTCTTGGTTTATTACATGCAACATTTCAATACTCTTACAGGTATCTTTATATGCTTGATAAAGATACCTGTAAGAGTATTGAAAATGTTGCATGTAATAAACCAAGTTGTGTTATTGTGAATTATTGTAATGTCGGTAAAGACTCTCCGAAAGTGTGACATCCAAATTCACGTTTTGTCACTTCATCACATATTCTGGCTAAAGCTTTATGCCAGAAGGACATTCAAAACATACAGGCACTTTGAAGTTAAAAAAGCGACCTCAATATGGAAAGACCTAGTGAATTATCTCTCTTAAAAAATGATGCCACATAAAAATTTACCTTTTTTAAACTTGATATATTGTGTTTTTAATATTAAAGCTCTATGTTTTAAATCATTTAAATATTTATTGATTTGAATGTCATATTTAATGTTGAAAAGATATTTTTTCTCTCTCTATATAAAAATTTTGCCATGTCTGTAGGGATATTTAAGGCTGTTTTTTCCATCAAAGTAAATTATATATTGGTTGCAGAATGAAAATAGTGTGTGCTCTCCAAACCTAACCATATTTCACATATATTGTGTAAGATTTATTACCATCAGATCATTAAATGTGACAAAATATTGTGTTGACTGTTTTGACTCCATTTTGTGAAAAACACCCATATAAGTCGAAACGGAGTATAAGACGAATGCCAGACTTCTACTGAAAAATGTATTGACTTAGGACCCGAAAAATATGGTAATTTTGGAGGAATTTGAAACAGGTACGGATCGGCAGTAGTTGGCACGCTTTAATTCTATGGTATTTCGATGTCATGTAATTTTGTAGGAATATTATTGACATAAATTTGAATACCGTACGGGAATTAAACTTGAAAAATAACGAGATGCACCTATTTTTTATTATGTATGAATTTGAATATTTTGTTGACACGTGATTCTTAATTGTGGTTTGAATGCCTGCTTAAATAACGATAAGAGTTATGCTCTGTATTGATGTAATGAAACTATACACAAAGTTTCACCATTATCACTCAATTAGAATCAAAGTTGTCGAGCTCCAAAGTCTCGACCAATCAAATTGCTTATCGCTCTGCTTACCCTAAGCTAAAAATACTCATTATCAAACTTAGTCAAGGTATTGATGTGATGAAACTATACACCAAGTTTCATCACTCTCACTTAATTAGAACCAAAGTTATTGTGTTCCAAAGCATCAACCAATCAAACTGCTTAAATCTCTGCTTACCCTAAGCAGAAAATGCTCATCTTAGAACTCCATCAAGGCATTCACCTAATGAACGCCTTCAACAAGTTTGAACATTTTACCTCAATTTGAAGGAGAGTTATTGTGTTCCAAAGTCTCGACCAATCAAATTGATTATCACTCTGCTTACCCTGGGCAGAAGATACTCATTATCGACCTTAGTCAAGGTATTGATGTAATAAAACTTTTCACCAAGTTTCATCACTCTCACTTACCGTAATTGGAACTAAAGTTATTGTGTCACAAAGCATCAACCCATCAAATTGCTTTTCTCTGCTTACCCTAAGCAGAAAAGGCTCATTCCCCTTATAAACACCTACACCAAGCTCAATTAGAAGGAAAGTTATTGTGTCCAAAAGAGGGTGACAGACAGACAGAAAGACAAACGGACAGACAGAAAGCAGGGGACATCTAAATGACCTATAGATCTAACAGGAATACAGTACATTTTTAGTATCACTCCTTACTTTGTAAACTTTTTTCTCATAAACACAATGATAATCTGGTGTTTTTCTTCTAGCTTTAGGTTTATAAACATATGGTGCAGCAGGACTAAAACATGGATCATCTGCTACAGTTTTTTTAGCTACCTTAGGTTTTTCTGGGGGAGGCTCCACATCTTCCTCTTTAGGTAAAAGTCGCTTATAGACCTTTTTCAAGTGACTACGTAATGTTTGAGCCATATATGCATAATCTGAAAAATACGAAATTGAAATTGGTCATTTTTAAAAGTAATGTCAAAACATATTAAAATACGTGCCAGAATGATAGTCAAATATTGAGTCTTAAGAACATACTTTATCACCCAATAATACATTCTACAGTAGATATTGCTTGTGTGATAAATTTCATAATCTACTGCGATATCTCCTTATAGGTCAATCAAAAATTAACTACTTTTTTTTTTCATTTTCAAAGAACAGTTCATTTCTTATTAAAAGTAACTTCTTTTTGACTAAAAAGGGAATATTTTTATTTAATTGACCTTGATGGAAACACTGGGTCAATATAAAGAACTTTGCAATAGTTAAATTGTTGTCAAAAAATGATGTATCACTACGCCATGTAATCAGGTTCAGTAAAAGTGAAATCTATTTGTGCATGTAAGAAGGGATTGCGGTGATAAATAAATTCTCCTACTCGCCTTTTTTAAGCCTATTAAACAATCACTCTCATTAAGCAATGAACCACCATCATTTTTCTGTTTTTTGAAATAGGATAAATAGAGAATCTCCTTTGAGTTTTTTTGATATCAAAAAGTATCAAAGCTCGTTTTTTTTTTTTAGTTTATCTACTTGTGTTGATATTTTTTGACATCAAAACCAGCGGCTGCCAGGCAGGATACACCCACATTTTGCAAGAGATGGATAGAAAACAAGCTAAAAACAAACAGGATTTTTTGTACAATCAGGGGCAATAATCCAAAAGTGCAAAAGTTATGGTCTGAAATGAGCAAATATCAAAAGGGACTTAGATCTTTAGGATATAAAGAAGATATGTTTTAAGTTTCATCAAAATATGATAACCAGCGGCTGCCAGGCAGGATACGCCCACATTTTCGAGAGATGGATAGAGAACCAACTGGATAGAAGAAAATTGTGACCTCTAGAGGGTCCACAAACTTGATATACCATATTTTTTCGCTATTTGAGAACGAGGGGCGGCCATTTTGTCTGTCAGATTTGGGACGATTTTCACGAAATTCGAACGCAGCTGTCCTTAGGGTGTAACAGTGAAATATTAAAACGTTTTTTTAAATCGGATAAAAATTATGACCTCTATAGGGTCCACAGGCTAAACATGCGATTTTTCCTACAATCAAGGGTCTTAATTTAGGAAATTACAATTTGATATGCGCAAATATCGAAAGGAACCAAGATCTTTGGGTTATAAACTTACATTTCAAGTTTTAACAAAATCAGATAACCAACGTTTTTTTAAATCGGATAAAAATTATGACTTCTATAGGGTCCACAAGCTAAAAACGTGATTTTTCATACAATCAGGGGCCATAATTCAGGAAGTTACTGTCCGATATGCGCGAATATTGAAAGGAACTGAGATCTTTGGGTTATAAACTTACATTTCAAGTTTCAACAAAATCGGATCAAAATTGTGACCTCTATAGGGTCCACAAGCTAAAAACGTGATTTTTCGTACAAACAGGGGCCATAATCCATGAAGTTTCGATCCGATACATGCCAATATCGAAGGCAGCCGAGATCTTTTGGGGATAAACCTATATTTCAAGTTTCGTCGAAATCGGATAAGAATTGTGACCTGTAGAGAGTCCACAAACAATTGTGGACGGACGGACAGGGGCGACGGCATAATACGTCCACATGAAAATGTGGGCGTATAATAAAATTGTGACCTGCATAGGGTCCACAAGCTAAAAAGATAGGTTGCCAGGCAACAAAACATACACCCACAGCAGCTAAATCGTCCGGGCAGTCAACAAGTGTTGTAGCATATTTTTACTTTTTTTGGTAATGAAATATTTATAATGCACTAAAATCTGATTAAGAGTATCAACTCATGAAATAATTATCAGAAAACCATTAGAATTTGTTTGTTTTTATAAAGTTCTAACCCATACTAACATTTAGTATACGAAGCTTTTAATATCATGGATTTAGCTGTTCAAGTCATAAAAATTCATTGAAAATCATTATACATGTACTTGTTTGTCTCAAGATCTTAAACTCTGTGTATCAATCTGAAGTCAATTGGATGATAACTTTAGCCTCTAGATTAAGGGCCATAACTTTGGCAGCAATCGGAAATCGTTGACCAGCAGCTGACAGGCAGGATACGCCCACATTTTCGAGAGATGGATAGAGAACAAGCTAAAAAGAAAGTGATTTTTCCTACAATCCAGGGCCATAATTCAGGAAATTACAATTCGATATGCGCAAATATCGAAAGGAACCGAGATCTTTGGGTTATAAACTTACATTTCAAGTTTCAACAAAATCGGATTAAAATTGTGACCTCTATAGGGTCCACAACCTTGATATACCATATTTTTACGCTATTTGAGAATGAAGGGCAGCCATTTTGTCTTGTCAGTTTTGGGCCGATTTTCACAAAATTCAAACTCAGCCGTCCTTAGGGTGTAACGGTGATATAATAATACGATTTTTTAAATCAGATAAAAATTATGACCTCTATAGGGTCCACAAGCTAAAAACGCAATTTTTTGTACAATCAGGGGCCATAATTCAAAACGTTACAGTCCGATATGCGCGAATATCGAGAGGAACCGAGATCTTTGGGTTATAAACTTATATTTCAAGTTTCAACAAAATCGAATAAAAATTGTAACCTCTATAGGGTCCACAACCTTGATATACCATATTTTTACGCTATTTGAGAACGAACGGCGGCCATTTTGTCTGTCAATTTTGATCCAATTTTCACGAAATTCGTACTCAGTGATCTTTAAGGTATAACAGTGATATAATAATACGTTTTTTTAAATCAGATAAAAATTATGACCTCTATAGGGTCCACAAGCTAAAAACGCGATTTTTCGTACAATCAGGGGCCATAATTCAGGAAGTTACGGTCCGATATGCGCGAATATCGAAAGGAACCGAGATCTTTAGGTTATAAACTTACATTTCAAGTTTCAACAAAATCGGATAAGAATTGTGACCTGTAGAGTGTCCACAATCAAATTGTGGGTGGACGGACTGACGGACAGGGGCAACGGCATAATACGTCCACATGAAAATGTGGGCGTATAAAAATTGTGACCTCTAGAGGGTCCACAACCTTCGTATTGCATACTTTTACACAATTTGCGTACAAAGAGCGGCCATTTTGTCAGGCAGTTTCATTTCGATTTTCCTGAAATTCAAATTCAACCTTCATTATGGTGGAATGGTGAAATATTTAAATGGTTTTTAAAATTGGAAAAAAATTTGTGACCTCTAGAGAACCCGCAAGCTAAAAATGCGATTTTTCGAACAATCAGGAGCCATAATCCAGGAAGTTACGTTCGGATATACGCGATTATCAAAAGGAACCAAGGGCTACATGGACGGCAAGCTAAAAACGTGATTTTTGTACATTCATGCAAGGGCCATAATTCAGGAAGTTACAATCCGATATGTGCGAATATTGAAAGGAACCAAGATCTTTGGGTTTTAAACATGTATTTCAACTCATCAAAATCAGGCCAAATTGTGACCTCTAGAGGGTCCACAAGCTCGATATACCAGATCCTATACACTATTTGCATACGAGGGTCGGCCATTTTGTCTGGCAGTTTTGGTCCGATTTTCACAAAATTCGAACTCAACCAAAATTACGGTGTAACAATGACATATTTGAATGTTTTTTCAAATCGGATAATTGTGACATCTAGAGGGACCTCAAGGTAAAAATGCAATTTTTCGTACAATCAGGGGCCATAATTCAGGAAGTTATGGTCCGATATGCGCGAATATCAAAAGGAACCGAGATCTTTGGGTTATAAACTTACATTTCAAGTTTCATCAAAATCAGATAAAAATTGTGACCTCTAGAGGGTCCACAACCTTGATATACCATATTTTTACGCTATTTGAGTACGAGGGGCGGCCATTTTGTCTGTCAGTTTTGGGACGATTTTCATGAAATTCAAATTCAACCATCCTTAGGGTGTAATGGTAATATTCTAAAACGTTTTTTTTAAATCGGATAAAAATTATGACCTCTATAGGGTCCACAAGCTAAAAACATGATAAAATCAGGGGCCATAATTCAGGAAGTTACGGTCCAATATGCGCGAATATCGAAAGGAACCGAGATCTTTGGGTTATAAACTTACAAGCAAATCGGATAAAAATTGTGACCTCTATAGGGTCCACAACCTTGATATAACATATTTTTACGTCATTTGAGAACGAGGGGCGGCCATTTTGTCTGTCAATTTTGGGTTGATTTTCACGAAATTCGAACTCAAATACCCCTAGGGTGTAACGGTGATATACTTAAACATTTTTTTAAATCGGATAAAAATTAAGACCTCTATAGGGTTCACAAGCTAAAAACACGATTTTTTGTACAATCAGGGGCCATAATTCTGAAATTTACGGTCCGATATGCGCGAATATCGAAAGGAACCGAGACCTTTGGGATATAAACTTACATTTCAAGTTTCAACAAAATCGGATAAAAATTGTGACCTTTATAGGATCCACAAGCTAAAAACACGATTTTTCGTACAATCAGGGGCCATAATTCAGAAATTTACGGTCCGATATGCGCGAATATCGAAAGGAACCGAGACCTTTGGATATAAACTTACATTTCAAGTTTCAACAAAATCGGATAAAAATTGTGACCTTCATAGGATCCACAAGCTAAAAACGCGATTTTTCGTACAATCAGGGGCCATAATCCATGAAGTTATGGTCCAATACATGCCAATATCGAAAGCTATATTTCAAGTTTCGTTGAAATTGGATAAAAATTGAGACCTGTAGAGTGTCCACAAACAATTGTGGACGGACGTCCGGACAGACAGGGGCGACGACAATATACGTCCACATGAAAATGAGGGCATATAAAAATGATGGTGGTTCATTGCTTAAAGGACAATATTGGTGCCAGTCATTATCACATATGTGATAGAGCTCGTTAAACACATTCCAAATATTTTTTAACACAGAGAACATTGCTACGATAGCTGAGTAATACAGG